ATCGTTTCAAATTGTTCCACACTACTAAAGTTCTTCAAGTTTTTTTCTTTGGGGTGTAAATTTTTTTTTTGGGTGTAAGTTACTTGCTTGATCTGTATATATTTCAGTTTTGCGTCTCTTTTAATTCAGAAAATGAAGTATTCACACGGAACTATTTTATTCATGTCTCGAGACCTTTTTTTTTTTTTTTTTTTTTTTTTTTTTTTTTTTTTTTTTTTTTTTTTTTTTTTTTTTNTTTTTTTTTTTTTTATTTTTTTTTTTTTTTTTTTTTTTTTTTTTTTTTTTTTTTTTTTTTTTTTTTTTTTTTTTTCGAGACCTGATTTCTATTAAGTAATATCAAATCATGTTCACCTAGTCATAAGCATTAAGAGGACGATATTGTGTTTCAAAGTGATTGATGTCACTTTGTTTGCGAGAGAGTCTTCCAACATATACAGCTAAGGTAAATGAATTGTTCAAAAAAAAAAAAACTAAGGTAAAGCTTATTACAAATGGTGTGACTTACTTCAATAGAATTCGTCCAAGAGGCCATGTAAATCGTTGACTTTTTCATTGGTGAATTCTATTTAGCGTTATCTGTATGTTGCGTTCATAATGGCAACCGGAAAAAAAAAACTACAGTAAATTGTTAAATTCATGCCTCTGTTATCAATGAAATTTAAAACTTCTATATGGCATGTGTTAACGCGAATTGTTAATTTATGTTATAAATAAAGCTTTATAACTTTTTTAGGCCAAAATGTTAAGAAAAGCTTTATAATTTTGTATGTGGTTTATTGCACGGATAGTATAAATACACAATATCCCGAGAGGGAAGTGATCAGAAGGTATGACTCAAAGTGATAAGCATTAATTATCTTTTCATTAGCTTATATATAATGTTTTTGAAAAGCTTTATATGTGAAGATTTGTCATCCATGCATACAATAATATTACATTAGTGAACAATGTTCGTCGTCTTCTTATCATTTGTTATCACCAGGTTGTATTCCAACATGTATGGATAATTTGTATAAAAATGTAGCTAATATTTTACGTAGCATTTGTGGTTAAAGAATAGGGTTCATGAATGTTGTAGTGGAAAGTAAACATAGGAGGAGATCCACCAACATCACTTACCAAAGTGCGTTGCTGCCACTTTTCCCAATACTATTGGACACCCACGTTACACCAATGTGATATGTGTCTCTTAGGGTTATTATTTTTATTAGCATAAGTTTCGACCATGCAAGTGGCAGTGCCATTGTGAACTCTTTTTGTTTTGTTTCTCTTTTCTTTTTGTTTTCATATGCTTAATAGGAAAAAGTTTTCAAAAGAAATTCGGATGATGTTCGATATCATTTGACCACTAAGAATTTGGTGTCGAACAAAACAAATTGCTTAACAAAAAAATAATTTTAAACGTTCAATTAGTTTCATTTAATCAGGCATGTAAATCTAGCTAGCGAACAACTTAAATTTTAAATTTTAATCATAAGGAAACTATTAAAAATAATTAGTAAATTCTAAAACAACTTTTTGACCAAGTTTTTTAAAACATTGGTTATAAGCAATTGGTTAAGGTTCAAAAGCATAATAATAAGCAATTGGTTAATCGAGAATTTAAATAAAGAAATAACATGCATGTGCCAGGTTAAGCATATTTTATATGTATATTTGTTGTGCAAATTTTCACCATCGATTTACTTCTGCCGATTTTTATGTATTTATAAGTTTTTTGTTGGTTTTATGTTATGGTTCACTAAGCTCAGGGTTCAAAGTTTAGTCCCACCGACTCTGCATCAAACGGGAATGGTCATTGGATAATCATCTTGAATGTGACTTACACAATTGGAGGAGTTTCTTAGATCTCCAATAAAATTACAAGTCTGAGTATGCATTATCGTTCTGTAAGAATTTAGGTTTTTTCATCTCTTGGCTCCTGCTATACTAATCTTACATTTTCTAATACGATTAGCTTCTGTGCTTATAAGCATTTTAATATAATTGTTTTGACGAATAATTTTACGAGCGAAAACATATACGGTTGTCTGTACATGTAGTATTGTGAGAAAATGCGTTGCCTTAATCATATACTTGAATGTGCGTTGTTGTATTAATCAGTTTTATTTATTGAAAGCATATAATATATGTGTTTTTCCCATTAATTTAATATATGTAGGTCATAGACTCATAAGATAGACGGCATGGCTTTATATTAAAAGTGGAAATAGAACAATAATAATAATAATAATATAATTTGTTAAGGTTGGATTTATAAAATGCGTTAATTTATGTTTATATGTATGAGCTGGATCCACGCATCAAGGGTCTCTGGACCCACTTTATCTCAATTATTATAGGTTCCGTACTCCGAAATTTGAAATAACATAACATCAGCCCAACATGTTTCGATCTTACCAAAACAACCCATGTTTTAAGCTACAAGGAGGGGACATGAACATCAAGCCTTTCTTCAATGTAGAGAAATTCAATTGAACTGTTCTATGAACATTTTAAATAAAACTGAAATGATGAACGACAGATCAATTTTGGACAATGAAACTTAATAACTTTAACCAGACATGTGTAGACTAGTGGCTAAGCATGTAGAGTTGGTCATAGTATGCTCTGAATTTGAACTATGATTGGAGGAGTGCTTTCTTACGTAACATTAGTAGTAGTAAAAGTTGGTAATGAACCAAATGAGAGATTATGGTTTACAACCCAAACTCCCTTTAGTTAACCAAGTTTTTTTTTAACAACTTAGTATCACTATGAAATTTCTACAATAAAATGTGTTATGTGTGTCACAAAATATACCAAAACAATTTGAAAATACATTTTCTGATCTTGTTAAAGAACAAACTAGAAAAGATAGAAGTATAATCATATTTATATGCTACAAATAATGAAATTTCTACAATCTAATTATATTTAAAAATCCTTGTTGCGAGGTATTGCAAATTTTAGTTACAAATAAAAAACATAGACTTTGTTGGGGAAATTTGCAAGTATTTATGATAAACTGCAAACTAAAAGTCAGTTAATTATAAGTAAACCGTAAACTTTTAAGGATTCTTTTTTTGGAAATAATTACCTGAATTTAGAAAATTGATAAACATGCTTTTTTGTGTTTCTATTTTTTATTTTTTTGAATGAGTTGTGTTTCTATTTTTAAATCAGTAAATATCAAAATATAAGCGCATAATCAATATTACATACCAAAAAGAATTGGAAAATTGAAGTGAGAAGAAAGTTGTAAGCTCCATCATGTTCAAAAAAAGGTTGTAAGCTTAAAAAAAGATTGTAAGCTCCACAGTCTAAAAGAGAGATGGAACTGTAGATAACCCAACCTTCTAAAATGGTTCTTAAAGGAAATAAAAAAGAAATGTAAGATTTTATAAATGATAAAAAAGTGAATCAAAGTTTTAAACGGTGTGAAAACTGCAAATATAGTATTGAATTATTTTCGTGGAGAAAATACTATCATATTTATAAATTTTACAACACTGAGAGGAGGATACCGGTAATGAAGGTTTATTTCGCAAAGGTTACAAGCCATAGAGTCAAACCATTCTATTCATTTTTCTCTACCATATTTTGTTATAGTGCTAATTTTCTGACAAATATTTCATTGTACCTAAACTACTGTAAAAATGTATTAGAAGTGGATTTGGCGCCAAAGAGCTTGAAGGAATCTCATACCTTCTCTTTGTCATGCTCGGTTAGCTTTTAGCCTATTATATGTGAAAATAAGTTACATAAGAACAAAATCTATTTTTTGAGACAACTTATATTCTAAGTCCTTGGCTTTTGTATTGTGAGAATATTTAGAATCATTATACCACTTAATTTAGGTTATCTACCAAATTCGCAACAAAATTTTTTACTTGTATGTAGCCAATTGTTAAAATTCATTAAAAAAATCAAACTTTTAAAATGAAAACAATAAAAAAATTTAAATAGATCAAATCGATATAGATTTTTCATTTTTAATGTAAGATCTGATGAGTTCTATATCAAAATTTAGATGTTAAATTTGAACGTTTTTAAGATGAATTTATTTTAACTCTACAAGAGTAACCTTATTTTTAAAGTTTACTGGATTCAAATTTGAGGTTTAAGGTATTTTTCTCTAGTGTTAAGACCTAAATTTTTGTAAATAATATTGACACTGTAATCCTTATGATTGATTAGAAATTTATAAAATTACACAGTACATTAATAATAAATCATATATTAAAATATGAACAAATTAACATTTTATTACAATAATAAAGTTATAAAAATAATATTAAATTATTTTAAATAGAATATACAATTATTCAATATAACTATTATGTAATGTTCTAATATATAGTTAATTAATGCATTTAAAATAATATATTATTATTTTTGTAAATAATTATATTTGGGTCATAGCTTAAATTTATAGAATCAGTACCTTTATATGAAAAATATTTTTAAAAATTATAAGGAATAAAAACAATAAATATAAGAACAGTCTAAAATAAAATAAAATAAACTGAAATCAATTATTTTATGCCAGTGATTAAAATTTCTTTTTTGATTTTATATTTAGTTACACAGTTAAATGATATTAAATCTAATGATAACAGACATGTTTTTGATTGCATCTTTCATTAGACAACACAATTCGAAGAAAGGATTGGAAAGCAAAGTTGATAAAGTACATAGTCAATATCTGGAGAAAAGTACAAAATAAAGGGCATCACTACACCACGGAGAAATACACACATACAGAGACATGTATACAACATAACTGTATCATACTGTATAAACATTTCAATATATATGAGATTTAAATCTAAACAATTATTAACAGAACCAAATAAAAATAAAAATCTGAAACAGAGAGAAATCGAGGAGGAGCTTGAAGCTGAGGACAGAGAGACAAAAGCTTCAAACTTTCTTCAACTCTCACATCTCACACCCTTCCTACAAAGCATATATTCTCTTTTTCTTCCTCTTCTTCTCCTTATCGTGACGAGAGAGAGATGTTAAATCCGGGTCAGGGAAGAGGACCCGATTCAGGCGTCGTTGGTGGGTCTTCGAACTCCGACCCGTTTCCAGCGGGTCTTCGAGTTCTCGTGGTGGACGATGACCCAACTTGTCTGATGATCTTGGAGAGGATGCTCAGGACTTGTCTTTACAGAGGTTCTTTGTCTTTCTTTAAGATGATTTCTTGGTCCAATTTTGTGGTAGATAATTATGGGATTTTAATTACGGTGGTTGACTAATCCATTAATAGTAATAAAACGATCTTTGAAAATTGACTAAAGACTGTTTTTTGATCACTGTTAGATTCATAGTATATATATACGTAAGCTTAAGCTTAGTCCTCTGTTCCAAATCAGTTCTTGATCTGGTTAAAGGTTTTGAATTTACGGTTTAATTTTTGTTATTGAGTTTAGTTTAAGAAGCCTCGAGGTTCTGGTAATGATTTTGATCGGTTCTGTTTTTGATGCTTTTAATTTACTCTGTTTTTTGAACAGTAACGAAATGTAACAGAGCAGAGATCGCATTGTCTCTGCTACGAAAGAACAAGAACGGTTTCGATATTGTCATCAGTGATGTTCATATGCCTGACATGGACGGATTCAAACTCCTCGAACACGTTGGTCTAGAGATGGATCTACCTGTTATCAGTACGTTCTTTAATATATATATATATATATATAATAAAACACTCTCTACTTGTTCTCTAGAGATCTGATGGAATCTTTTTTTTTGTTGGTTATAGTGATGTCAGCGGATGATTCAAAGAGCGTTGTGTTGAAAGGAGTGACACACGGTGCAGTGGACTACCTAATCAAACCTGTACGCATCGAGGCGCTTAAGAATATATGGCAGCATGTGGTGAGGAAGAAGCGTTACAACGAGTGGAACGTGTCTGAGCATTCCGGGAGTGTTGAAGAGAGTGGTGGAGGAGGAGGAGAGAGGCAGCAGCAGAGGGATGATGGTGATAACAACTCTTCTTCAGCTAATAACGAAGGGAGCTTGAGGGGGTCGAGGAAGAGGAAAGAAGAGGAAGTAGACGAGCAAGGAGATGATAGAGAGGACACATCTAGTTTGAAGAAACCACGTGTTGTTTGGTCTGTTGAGTTGCATCAACAGTTTGTCGCTGCTGTGAATCAACTCGGCGTTGATAGTAAGTGAAAAAAGAACTTGTCTGGTTATGAGTTTGTGTTTTCTTGTCTGATCTTTTGTTCAATACAGAAGCGGTTCCTAAGAAGATCTTGGAGATGATGAATGTACCAGGACTAACGAGAGAGAACGTAGCTAGTCACCTTCAGGTAAAAAAAGACATGTAACTAAGAATAAGTATTTACATTGATGTGTGCTACTAACTAACACCTTTTGTGGTACTTGCAGAAGTATAGGATATATCTAAGACGGCTTGGAGGTGTGTCTCAGCACCAAGGGAACATGAACCATTCGTTTATGACAGGTCAAGATCCAAGTTTCGGTCCTCTTTCTAGTTTGAATGGGTTTGATCTTCAAGCTCTAGCTGCTGCTGGTCAGCTCCCAGCTCAGAGCCTCGCACAGCTTCAAGCAGCTGGTCTTGGTCGGCCTCCTTCACTCACTAAACCAGGGATGGTTGTTTCTCCTCTTGTGGATCAGAGAAGCATCTTCAGCTTCGAAAACCCGAAAATAAGACATGGGCAGATGATGAATAATGGTGGTAATAAGCAGATTAACTTGCTTCACGGTGTTCCAACGGGAATGGAACCGAGACAATTTGCAGGTGGTGGTGGTCACATGCGCGTGCAGCAGCAGCAACAACAAATAGCTAATGTTCGTGTTGGTGGACAGAATGTTCAGAGCAGTGGAATGATGATGCCTGTAGGAGGAGGGACAGCAATGCTACCGTCGTCTCTAGGACAGCAACAACAAGTGATGTTGTCAAGTAATGTTCCAAGGAGAAGCGATCTCACTGAGATTAGCAGTAGAGTGTTACCAGCTACTACACACTCGGTCTTTAATAACTTCCCCTCGGAGCTGCCTAGAAACAGCTTCCCGTTGGCAAGTGCACCGGGGATATCAGTTTCTTACCAAGAAGAAGTCAACAGCTCAGACGCAAAAGCTGCTACTGTGACTAGTAACGCAGCGTTTGGTAACCAGAGCTATAACATATACAACGATTATCCGCAGCAAAACAACAATAGACTTAATGATTGGGATCTACAGAATATCGGTATGGTTTTTAACTCTCATCAGGACACAACAGCAGCAGCTGCTTTCTCATCTTCGGAAGCCTACTCTTCGTCTTCCACTCAGAGAAAAAGGCGGGAAGTAGAGTTACCGGTTGTGGCTGGTAATGTGCATAACCACCAGCAACAGCAGCAACAGCAACAACAGCAGATACCAAGCCGGAGTCTGAGTCACATGAACCAGATTTACATGAATGGTGGTGGTTCGGTTAGAGTGAAGTCAGAGAGAGTGGCGGAGACAGTGACATGTCCTCCAGCAACAACAGTGTTTCAGGAGCAGTATAATGAAGAAGATCTCATGAGCGCACTTCTCAAACAGGTTTCATTTCTATATAAATTATGATTAAAATAGTATGGTCTATAGTTATTATAACAGCCATGAATAACTTGTGTATATGAAATGGCAGGAAGGAGTTCCATTGGTTGATAATGAGTTCGACTTTGACGGATACTCCATTGATAATATTCCTGTCTGACCTCACCACACATATACTCACTCTTAAGAGTAGACTGCAAGATTCTTTGTTTTTCATCATGGTAACAAGAAAGCTCCAACAAAGGGCGATAAGTCTGAGCGGATCATCATCATGTATTGTATCTTTAGATAGAAATTCAAAAGCAGAATAAAATACTTTTACTTTCTTTTCTTCTTGTTATTACTAGGAGTAATGTGACTTTTGCTGCACATTGTTTTTGTATTTTTTTTTTGTCTTACACAAAGACTGAGACATGTAGGGGGTTCTTGATCGTCTAATGTTTCCTTCTTTTTTCTTCTTCCTAGTCTTTAAGAACATTTGTGTAAATATGTTTCTACGTGTTGTTGCTACATCATAGTAATAAAAAGAAACGGTATTGATCCGACCAATGCATAGATCCACCAACACACAAGTCTTGATGCTATTGCTTTTTATGTAAGAGAGAACTGGTTTGGTTCGGTTATTTGTGAGCTTAAACGAGTACCGGTTTGGAGGAGGATATCAATGACTTAGAAAGAGTAACAAAAAGAGTATACACAACACATCTTAGTGATTACAAATCAGAAAACAATACAAGAGACTTGTAAACATATCTTCAGTTCATAGTGTTACCTATATAAAAGCTTCTTCCAATACTCATCATAGATTGCTGATAAAAGAATTGATTGATTCTCCACCAGGGAACCCTTGGGAACTGACTGGTTATCTGGTAAACCATGAAACATTCAAGAGACTGTATCCACCAACACGTATGGGAAGGCTTCAGTGCAACTACCTACACGCGCAAAATCAAGAGTGCCAAAACCGGTAACGCTAAGAGAATAGCAGAGATGTGTCTCCGTTTGTTGCTGTTGCTCGTTGGGAGTATAGATGGTAGCGAGCACTCCTCACCGTTGAAGAACACTTTGTTAGGGAAGCCATCTCCACCAGGGACATTGATCCCAGGAGTCAGCTTCTTGGTGAAGGAAATAACAGACTGTTGTTTCCCGGGAACACGAGGGTTCTTTAAAGGATTGTCTCCGTCTCTTTCCGCTACAAGATAGTTTAAGCCAGGAAGACCTTCCATGAAAATAGTATTGTTCTCCCCGTTGATATCAAGTGCAGTTGCGTTGAACGAGTAAGCTTTCTCGAAACCTGGTGCAGCTCTTTTCATCTGAACAGCTGTGAACCAATCTGCAAAGTTTGTTTCTCCCCAGTTAAAGACTGTGACACGCGCTGTCCATCCTCCTCGGTAGTCTGTAGCCAGATGCCAGTTGATGCTAACTCCACAGTTGTCCCCACAAGGCATTGGGTTTGGGACAGGACGATGTTTTAGATAAGACCAAGCTAGGGTGAGTTCAGTTCGGTTCTCAAATGGGACCAGAAGAGCTTGCTGTGGTAGAAGAAGCGCTGGGGATGTTGTGCTACAAGTGCGAGATGCTTTGTTGCTAGAACACCCACAAGCGCAAGTCTTGCACGGGATGATTGAGTCGTTAAAGTAGGCAGAGAACGATACACAACACCTAGGACTCGTGGCTTTCTGTTGAGTGATGTTGCAGACCACTTGCCAGCTCGCAAAAGCTGTCTTGTTTGATGGTAGTCCACTGGGATCAACGAACTGGCTCGGGCTTACTCGAACAGGAGGGCCACACTTGTAATCCGGGTTAAGTGAACCACTGATACGCCAGTTCTGAGGAGGTGAAAGAGCAGAGATGTTAAGATCCGGAGGCATTTTGTAAACCTGCATCTGGAAAGCTGAGATGGACTTGCTAGGATCCATGGACTTCGGCAGAATAGTCCCGTTTCTGCAGCAATATGGTTTAAACCCGACGACAGAATCATTATACTTCGTAAGAGGGAGATCTATGATGGTTGGCCGTCTTGCACAGCTTAACACGTTGGAGAAGTCAAGAGCTTGATAGTACTTGGCTTGTGGGCCATCAATACAGTCAGATGAGTCAACAAGACTCGGGTAAGCCCCTGTCATGGTGTCGATAAACTCGTCACGCATCCAGTCAAAACTCAGCTTCCAGTTATCTAGCCTGCCAAGCGGGCTATGGTTCTCCATTGTCACTTGTGCCATGTAATTCGATGCATATGATCTGATCACATCGTACATGATAGTGAGATCTCCATTTTTCCGGGGAAGGAACTTGTCATCAATGATCTCTGTGTTATTAAAGTCTGGATCCGGCATGCAACACACTTGCAAAACATTTTTACCTGACGAAACAGAGAAGACATACATAAAATTCAAGTAAGCAATAGTCAAAAAGAACAAAATCTCACGGATCTGCATAAGCACATAATAACACAGCACAAATAGATGCCTAGAATCAATTAGAAAAAACAAATGTCCCAACTTCAAAGACAGTTCCTTTATCAACTGATTCCTTGGAAATGTGTTACTACTCTATTACCTCATATTCTTTCCACATTTGACTAATTCAAACTTTAAGGTGCAAAAGAGGAAACTAAACAAAACACAACAGACAATAGTCAAAAATAACAAATTACCATCATAAATCTGCACAAGCACATTAGAAAACAGCTAATAATACTTAAGTTTTATTCACAACACAACACAACACAAAAAGAAATGCCTAATAATCAATAAGTCAAAACAAGTCTCCCCTGTCTAGAGACATTTCCTCAAATATCTGGAAATATACTTACTCAAGTACCCTTGACTAATTCAAACATTAGGTGTAAAGAAGTAACCTAAACAATCATAAACACGAGTACGCACATGGGGAATCTAAACAATCCTTGCTGGATTTTGACTCTCTTTCTCTTTCTCTAATAATCTAAGCATTGCATAAACTTCTCCTTAATTAACGGGATCTAAATTAGATACTTCTTCATCTCTAACATAGCAAACCAAAACTATACATTTATACCTTTCTGAGTGGCTTTAGGACACTTCCACCCATCAGTAACCAAAGAAATATTCTTCGGAAGAGGCACATTAGGCGGCGCAACACCGAACTGCGTCCCAACAAGCTCCACACTCGCCTGCATCTGAGCCACATCACCCGCCGTCTGAATCGCCGACTTCAAGTCCGACGAAGGATACCCCGCCAAAACGGTGCCGTTCTCCACGCTCAGCGGCAAGCTGGAGCCGTCGGAGAGGACGGCGTTGGAAGCGGAGACGAGGATCTCGCGGTGGGAGAATCCGACGAACACGCGCCACGATTTGAGCTCGTCGCGGCCGTTGTTGAGCACTGTCACCACGGATTCGAACCGGTAGGGTTGGTTCGAGGAGTCGTTGGGCGGGATCTTGGATCCTTTGGTGTGTGTGTAGGTGACGAAGACGCCGTTGCATAGATCGGAGTCTGTGGTGTTGGATTGAGATGTTGTGTGTGGGATTGAGGTGAGGAGGAGGAGGAGGAGTAACGGAAGAGATGGATTCATTGGAAACCCTAATGAATCTATATGTGTTTGTTTAGTGATAGTGAGAAGAGAAGAGAAGATGTTTGAGTTTTTTTTGAATTGTTTTGAAACTGAGAGATGAGTGTAAAAAGAAAGGTTATAGAGAGAAAGAGACTGGTGAGAAATGATAAAGCGACCGCGTTTTATGAGCTGTGATGGAAAGTGCGTGTTGGCTAACGAATTTCAAATTTCTCTCGAGCTGATTTTTTTTTTTTTTAAACAAAAGCAAAACCACTTTATTTTTATTTGTAAATTAAAAGAATACATTTTTCATAGCTGACAAAAAAAAATAATACAATTTTTATATATCTTTTAAAAAAATTAAACGAATACATTTGTGTTCACTAGTAAACAAATAAAAGATGAGTGTTGTTGTTGATAAAAGAAGGAAGAATGGAATCTGATGATGAACATTCCTTGGTAATAGATCTGTTTCGAATGTAGAACCTTTTCACGAGGTTAATGAATGAGGAACTAAATACGTGGGCAACTCACGAAAGACCGTCATCAATTCATTGATTTTGAAGAAAAAATAACGGACCAATCATTTGTATTTGATATCAATGTGGGTCAAAATTCAACGAGTATGTTACAAATAGGGGAAAGAACCGTTTTTTTTCTCGTATGCGAGTCATGCTCCAAATCAAGCTAATGTTATTCTTGGTGAAGAGAGAAAAATACTCTCATGTCTCTCTTGTAAACCAGAATATCTTCGAGTCCCAAAGCTGGATAATTGTGTTCCAAATTATGTGGTAAGTTTGATAATATCTTCGAGTCCCAAGCTGGATAATTGTGTTCCAAATTATGTGGTAAGTTTGATAAGTTCACTCTGTAACACTAAATGTTTTTTTTCCCAAAATCCACGGAATCAGTCAATAAAATATCAAAATAAACATCTATCTATATGTAGGAGAGACTTAGAGCATGTTTAATGGAGGTTGCTTAGAGAGTTGCTTATGAGGAGAGGAGTGTTTAATTTGAAGAGAGAGGGTTGCTTAGGAGGAGAGGAGTTGCTTAATTAAGCAATTTTTACACTCTCTCTCTTTAAATTAAGCACCTCTCTCCTCCTAAGCAACTCTCTAAGCAACATGCATTAAACATGCTCTTATAGAAAGGCGAGGAATATCACCGTGTTAAGACCCAACAATATTAGAAGTCCAAAGTTTAACTTTGTTATATCTTAAACAAATTAATATGATTTTCAATAAATAAATAAAAATAGATTTTAGCTACATATAGTTTTCTGTTTCAAAAACTTACTTTAAAAAAACTCATTTAAAATCATGAAATAGTTTATATAATGATATAAAGCCTGATTTTCAACTAATTTTTTTGGAACTGAAGGTGTGTCTGAGAGAGCCCACTCACTCATTAGAATGCATGTGGGCATATCGAAGGATTTTGCAACTAGTAGTCTCACTTAAAACCGTAAACAAATCGGAGTTCAAAACAAATGTATGAAAGCCCAAAACTAAATGAATAGCCCACAACATACAAAAATACAAAGAGAGGCTGCATCCCTATGCATATTCAAGTTTTTTTTGGTGAAATATGTGTCTTCAAGTTCCTTGTTTCTAAGCTTATAACTAAAAGTTTAAAACCAATGAGAAATCCCCATGAATGCGAGATTAGATGGATCACAAACTACGTCCAGTTACTATGTTAACTCTAAAAGTGAGATTTACATTTCTTGGTTGTCACAGAAATCATCTGACTAGTTATAAATAAAGGTAAGAGAAATATACAAATAAATGATGATCTTATCTTCAACTGCAACTCGTACAACTTGGGTAATGTTATCCTATTGGCTATTGCTATCGTTACTGTTGCTGATACACATCAAAGCTTACCCTTGTGACACAAATCGCTTTTTTTTTTCTTGTTTCATTATGGAACCTGAACTGAATTACAAGAAGTATATAATATGGATTCATAATGGTTATTTGCGGATAAGATCAACTAGATGATAACCCGCGCGCATGCGCGGGGTGAAATTTTTATACTAATATTTATTTACTAAATGGTTTTTAACATTTTGCAATACTATAGTATTTATCGATTATAAAATGATGAATACAAATGTTGGTATCTTAAATCATCATAGGTCTGGACGTTTGAGACTTCGTCGGTTTTGGTTTGATTGAGACATATTTTCAGATTTTGGTATTATTCTCATAAATCCTATTTGAATTTTACTAATTATCGGATTGGTTCGATTTGATCTTTTTAATTCAATTTGGATTGGATTGTAACCAATATCTGAAATTATCCCAAAAAATATTTTTTAAACATAAAAAGTTGACAAAAAATTCAAAATATTTAAACTATTAATAAGTCTAATTTAAAATTAGTTAAACTATCTAAACAAACTAAAAGATATTAAAAAAACAAATAAAATAAACTACAAAAATCTTTTGAATACTATAAGTTGTATCTACTAACCTCAAACCTTTTCACTGAAATTTTTAAATTAACATATTTATAATATGAATATCTACTAATGATACTTCATATTCGTACGATTTATGATAATTTGTATCTTGTTTGAAAAAAAAACAAAGTTAAACCATTGATCATAAAATTTTCAATGAGGGATTTTACTATTTTTAGTTATTTATGGTCGTTTTAAAAATTAAAAATATAACCTATAAGAAAAAAATTATTTTTTTTATTATATATTTAATGTGATTGTTTAATTTATTTTAATAATTTAAAATTAAACAAAAAAGAGAGAGGACACAAAAATATGTATTATTCATAATCATTAATTACATATATATGATAATCATATTAGGTAATTTCGTAGCTTTTATTTAAGGAAATAAAATATATTGTTTTATACCTTTTGGTCCCTTACAAAATGTTTATATATTATAGTCCTAAATGGAAAAAATTTAATGTTACATTATTTCATTCCTAGCAAAGTTGGTCCATTAAAAAATTAAGGCTGAGAAGCTCTGTAAGCTTGACACGTAAGCATGCTCTCCAAGGTTGTGCATTTATGAATGCTTCAGGATTAATATATAAGGGATTGTAAGTTATACGTCAGAATCAGCAAACCCTACATAAATTACAGATAGTTCTCCTTTCACTTCTCATTGTCCTGTTTAGATAAGAGAAACATATATCACACTTTCAATTATTCAACTTTCGAGCATTTCTATTTTTAGTCGGTATTAATTGGATTTTATCATATACTAGTATATATAAATACAGACGCAACATCCATTTTATCCATTTTCTCGAGTTGCGAGAGGTCTACGTAACCTTCTCACCAGTTAATTACATTTTTTAATAATTAAAAATCATAAAATTAATTTCATATTTTTTATCTTATGAGCTAGACGCCAAAATTACAAAAACCCCATTAAAGCTGGAGATTTAGTTCTTACTCCTTCGAATCAGTCAGTTATCAAATTCTCCCTCTCAGAGTCAGAGATCGTCGCATAATCTCACCCGTCCGTTGAAGAAAAATGAGGATTGACGATAACGAAGGCGTCTCGGCTTCAAGCAAGCACTTAGTCTTCGCTTACTACGTCACTGGACACGGTTTCGGTCACGCCACTCGCGTCGTCGAGGTTACTTCTCATTCTCGCTCACTCTCTCGTGCTTTGTGTCTTCTTCCATATAGTTCGTTTCGATCGTGGCTGATTTGTGGCGATTTCAGGTTGTTCGTCACTTGATCGCGGCGGGGCACGATGTTCATGTTGTTACCGGCGCGCCTGATTTCGTATTCACGTCTGAGATTCAGTCCCCGAGGCTAAAGATTCGAAAGGTTTCTGCCGATGATTTTTACTTGAAATAGAAGGAAGGAAGATAGATAGTCTAATAATGATTGGTGTTAATTGCGATGTTTGTTAGGTTCTTTTGGACTGTGGAGCTGTGCAAGCTGATGCTTTGACTGTTGATCGTCTTGCTTCCTTAGAGAAGGTTTAGTTTTACTCTTGTGATTGATTCTTGTTTCTGTTGGTTTTTCTCTTGATTGCAATTTCGGTTTACTCTTATGTGATGCACAGTATGTGGAAACAGCTGTGGTTCCTCGAGCTGCAATCTTGAAAACAGAAGTGGAGTGGCTTCATTCTATCAAAGCTGATTTCGTGGTAACTTTTTTTTATGTTTATATACAATCTCAGCAACTTTACTGGACTTTTTGCTTTGTAAATTCATCATTTCATACCAAGAGAAATGTTTTCATTTGTTAAAAAACAGGTGTCTGATGTTGTCCCCGTTGCGTGCCGTGCAGCGGCTGATGCTGGGATACGTTCAGTCTGTGTCACCAATTTCAGGTGACATTTTTGATATTCTACTATCAGTTTGAGCTGAGGTCTTTACATGGTTGTAGTTTACATTCACTGCAAGTACATGTACAGTGTACTGTAATTCTGTCTCCGCCATTTAAATTTCACTTTTGTTATCAAATGTTCAGAAGGAGATTTTTATAGTGAAACAGTTGCAAATTGATTTCGAATTTTTTTTTCTTTTAGTTGGGATTTTATCTATGCTGAGTACGTGATGGCTGCTGGATATCACCATCGCTCCATCGTTTGGCAGGTATACTTTTTTTTTGTGTGTAAAAGCTGTGGATACTCGTTTTTATTAGCTAGTAAGATGTGGATAATACTCATAATTTTTGAGTTAAATACTTTACTTTTCTTGCCTGACATAGATAGCTGAAGATTATTCTCACTGCGAGTTCCTAATTCGTCTCCCAGGGTATTGTCCAAGTATGCATCATTTCTAAACTTTCATTCGTTTCTTTCTGTTTTAGAGAAATATTTTCTTCTAACTGTATTCTGCTTTACTGCTTTGCCATTTTTTCTTTGTTATCTCCTAGTGCCTGCTTTTCGTGATGTCATCGATGTACCATTAGTAGTGAGGAGACTTCATAAATCTCGCAAGGAGGTCTGTCTACAACATTTCATTGATATTATCTGTCGTACAAATAATCTAAAAAACATATATTACCCATTTTTATCAGGTGAGGAAAGAACTTGGGATTGCTGAAGATGTGAATGTTGTTATACTCAATTTTGGTGGACAGGTCTGGCTGTTTGACCCTT